CCATTAACACCCTTCACCATATTGGCTACTCATCTGCAACTGTTGTATTTACTGATTGTGTTCGTGCTAATGGTCTCAGCGTAAATGGGTATTGTGTTATTATTGTGTTTTGTCTGTTCTCTCTCTCTCTCTCTCTCTCTCTCTCTCTCTCTCTCTCTCTCTCTCTCTCTCTCTCTCTCTCTCTCTCTCTCTCTCTCTCTCTCTCTCTCTCTCTCTCTCTCTCTCTCTCTCTCTTTCTGTACATACAGTGAGAATTCCCCAGATGTCAGATGGTGTTATGGAGAGTCAGAAAAACACTTTCCCTCTCTCTTTGTTCAGTCTGCTATTCCTTCAATCTGCTTTTCTTTCAGTCTGCCCTTCTTTCAGTCTGCCCTTCTTTCAGTCTGCCCTTCCTTCAGTCTGACAGGGAGCCTGTCTGTCTCCCCACTAACAGACTATACAGTTCCGAGCATAAGACCTCGCCAGAGGTGAACGAGGACCTCGTAAGTCCTATAATGGTACTCACCAAGCACATTACATACATTAAACAGGTTATGGTAGTGGTAGTAAATATGATAGTCCCCCCTGGGAACTATAATGGGAACAATAAGAGAAAATGAGAAGATATGACGGGGTGACGCATGTAAATAAGAGAAAGCGGAGGAGCGGTTAAGAGAAAGTAAAAGTAATGAACCTGGAGAGAAGACTTGTAGGAAAGAGACCTCCCACAGGGACATGAGAGAGAGAGAGAGAGAGAGAGAGAGAGAGAGAGAGAGAGAGAGAGAGAGAGAGAGACAGACAGACAGAGAAGGGGGATGTATTATAATACAATATGCTGCCTCAATGGAAACCTAACACCGGCATTCACCATACATTTTCACTACTCACTATCTTCACTGTACCCCCCCCCCATCTTCTCACCACACTATCATCACTTTACATCGAAAATAAGGTATTTAATTTCTTGCTTTCAGGTCATTGAGTCTTGGGGAGTGATGTTGTAACATTCTCTACCATCTTCAGAGGGGAGACTTTCCGGCCTCTCTCTCTTTCTCTCTCTCTCTCCCTCTCTCGCACTAGCTCCTGGCTCCCAGGTGGCTAAGAGGGCCGCATATTGCAAATATTTTCCCAAATTTCACATTCTTCATCACCACAAGGCGCTTCACTAATGCCTCCAGGAATGTCCTTTGTTCTGTTGGTTCACTCTCACGATATTCTCGTTCAGATCAAAACGCCTCGGCACCTTTCTCTCTCTCCTTTCTACCTTGGCCTCTTGTGTCTATAGATAAGAGTTCCAGCAGTGGTAAGAGATATTTAAGAGTAACATCTGTTGCTCTTAACCCCTGTTCTGAAACTTTTCCTGGACAGATGTAATAGAACTCATACTCACCACACCAGACATGAATATCTCTTTGATGTCCCCAGAGTCAAACTTGATCTGTGTAAACATTCTATGGAAATAAAGGGACCTAGTCTATGGAACTGACTCCCTAATGAATTGAAAAGCTGTCCAACTTTTGCCTTATTCAAAAATAAAACCAAAAAATACCTAATTTCATCTTAGTTTTCTACCTTGTGCTAGAAACTCGCACTGTATCTAGTGCTACCCAATTCTCCCAATAATTATGCACCTAAGCCATATAACCTTATCATTATAATCATTGTTATCATCTTATATCATGATAATTATACTGAACCCATTGTTTACTGCATAATACCTTGCAATAATCCTCAAATTATGCAACAATGTACTTGTGGATAGCCCTTAAATTTACATAAATTTACTTTAATGTACATACGAATCTTGTCAAATTTCTTATACAATGTATCTCTTATATTCTCTTACAATGTACCTGAAAACGTATTTTAATTTTGAAAGAAATTACTTTCTTAAAATTAGTTGTTAGATTAAGGACCTGTCCGAAATGCGTGCTAGTGGCTTTACAAGAATGTATAACTTCAATGCTCTGTACTCTCATGAACCCAATGTTACCTTCTTGTATAGAAATAAATAAATAATAAATAAAATAAATGCTTTGGCTAAACAGCATTATATATAATAGTATACGCTTTGAAAACTTTAAAGAGAATGAATTGTAGAAACGTCGAGAGAAAACGATGTGACTTTGGAATGTCAATTGGGGTACACTACTGCAAACAGGATAGGTAAATATTTGTTTTTGAGATATATACATGAGTTGTTACATTCTTGTACAATGTTATTTATTTATTTATGCATATACAAGAAGGTACATTGGGAATGTGAGGATACATAATATGGTAATTACAGTCTTGTAAAGCCACTAGTACGCGCAGCGTTTCGGGCAGGTCCTTAATCTAAAAAAAATTTAAGTAGGTAAATACTCGCAAAATTTATAGACAAAAAAAATGATAACAGTTACATGGAATGAAAAAAAGAAGATGAGAGAAAATTGTAGGTACAGTATATTAAAGCACATAGGTAGCTAAGATTGGTTGCAATGACAGCTTGAATGGTAGTTGACAAAAATTGGTAGTCACAATACAGCATATGGCTAGCACATAAAAGAAGACAGCAATGAACACAATGATAAGGTTGTTTGATACTACATAAAAATTAGGAGATTGGGTAACACTAGGTACAGAGCAAATTTAAAGCTCAGTGTAGGAAACTAAGAAGATGAAGTTAGGTACTTTTTGGATTTGCTTTTAAATAAGGCAAAAGTTTTACAGATTTTCAATTCACTAGGGAGTGAGTTCCATAGACTAGGTCCCTTAATTTGCATAGAGTGTTTACACAGAGTAAGTTTGACCCTGTCGGATATCAAAGAGATATTTATTTCTGGTGTGGTGATAATGGGTCCTATTACATCTGTCCAGGGAGAGTTTCAGAGCATGGTTTGCATTTAAGAACAGGGTTTTGTAAATGTAGTTGGCACAAGAGAATGTGTGGAGGGAGTTAATATTTAGCAAGTTTAGGGATTTAAACAAGGAAGCTGAGTGTTGTCTGAGAGCAGTTAGTTATTATTCTGATAGCAGATTTTTGCTGCGTGATTATGGGCTTAAGGTGGTTTGCAGTGGTAGACCCCCATGCACAGATACCATAATTAAGATAGGGATAGATTAGTGCATAATATAGTGAGAGGAGAGCAGTCTCCGTGGTGTAGTGGTAAGACACTCGCCTGGCGTTCCGCGAGCGCTATGTCATGGGTTCGTATCCTGGCCGGGGAGGATTTACTGGGCGCAATTCCTTAACTGTAGCCTCTGTTTAACGCAACAGTAAAATGTGTACTTGGATGAAAAAACGATTCTTCGCGGCAGGGGATAGTATTCCAGGGACCATAGGATTAAGGACTTGCCCGAAACGCTACGCGTACTAGTGGCTCTACAAGAATGTAACAACTCTTGTATATATCTCAAAAAAAAAAAAAAGTTAGGAACATAATTTCTGATCGGGGAGAAAAAACAAGCCAGGAGTGGGGGACCTTAATTTATTAAGTAATGTTTACAGAGCAACTGGTGTACCACAATAAAAGATGTCGTGTAACATGACTCAGTAGAATGCCAGTACTGCAAAGATGCAACTTAGGGAAAGAGTCGTAGGACATTAACCGTGCCTAGTGCCGGCTAGCCGAATTAGCAGTTGCCCGAAACGCTTTGCGTAATAGTGGCTTTAGGCATTGTATGTACTAGCTCTTTCTATAAAGCCAACAAATCAATAGGTACTTGAGAGCTGGTCAATAGTTGTGGGTTCAATCCTGGGGAAGGTCAGTAGTTGGTTTAGGACTGTAGGGGGGTCGTCTACTAACCTAAGTATAGGCTTCCTGACCCCAACAACAGGAATTAAACCAACAATACCATCTTACCCTCAACACTATTTAATATTATTCACCAAAACTTAAAGACCAAAACTCTGTTAAATTTTGAAATCCAGCTGAAAAATATCTTCAGGGTAAATAGGGGGACCTTTGACAAGCAGCCATTTTCCTGTCCTTGTTGAGGCCACTTGAGCATTAGTGGCCCTCGGGCAAATTCAAGTAAATACATTACAGGTATTACAATTGTTTATAGCTAGACGAGTGTTCTCTATAGACCAATGTTTCCTGGCATGCACAGATGGTTTTCTTTACAATACAATACAATACAATTTTATTTAGGTAAGGTACATACATACAATAAATATTTACAAGGATTGACTTATAGGTATAGCTAGTACATACAATGCCTAAAGCCACTATTACGCAAAGCGTTTCGGGCATGATAAACTTAAATGACAAGCTTAATACTAATTGAGCATAATGAGTAGAATGAAAACAAGAAATGAAAACATAGATGAAAAAGCAGCACAAATACAATTATGTCGACAAACAGCGCTCTTTAAAGAAAAAAAGACATTGGTTGACAATAGAAGGGTAAGGTAGGTTACAGGGAATTTATTAGGTATAGCTTCGCTTTTAACTTAAACTGGTTGAGAGAGGTACAGTCTTTAACATGGTAAAGTCTGTATGGTACAGTCTTTAACTTTGGTAACTGCAGTTGTGACTGGAAGTCCCATCACTACCAGATCTGTATACTGTATAAGGCCTGGAATACACTTGGGTTGGCAGAGTGATTAGAAAGTCTGTGGCATTCATAGCTAGTTGTTTAGATACTCAGGATAGCAAGTGTTGAGACTGCATACAACTAGGAAGGATTTGATTTTCTAAACTGTACCTATCATGATCTCTTAATGTCTGTTGGTACTATTTTTGGTAGCACTAAAGTATTTTCATAGGTTATATTATTCCTGGTTTGCTGTTAGATAAGTCTTAAGTTTAATACCCTGACTGTTACTTGTCTCTTAATTCTTTGTATTATTTTCATGGCATCCAGACTTTCATGTTCTGGATGCTAAACTAAATTAAACCTTCCTGTTTTCCTCTGCTGTGCCTATTGTGGCTATCTGGGATGTTAAAAACATGTATAGTGTTGAAATTTTTAACAGGTGCAGCAGGTAACATCAGTGCAACGGTAAGACCACAACATGTCTTGCAGCATAGTAATCGTTCTCTTTTTATGCCTACTATATACTGTATTCCTTGCAGTACACATTTCTTCTGCTGCTGGTGTTCCTGATAGAAGCAGTGGCCGGAGTATTGGCCTACGTGTATGAGGAACAGGTTATGGCCGAGCTCTCCCACACCCTCACCTCCACCTTCAACAACAACTATATGATAGACCCAGACGTCACTCAGGCCATAGATCAGATGCAGATAGAGGTACTGTACTGTAATGTAATTTGTATACTTACACTCGTCAAACTCACTTTTGAACTCGTGAATGCAAGAATATTTATTCATCTACACAAAGTATTTGTATATTGAGGTTAATTCTAATTGTATTATTATTAATATGGAACTAGCTATGCTGGGCCATAGATTTAAAATATTTGTACAGTAAAACTAATAATAATAATTTAATGAGGGGTTTGAACCTATGTGGTGGGTGTTCCCATGCCTTAGCAACTAGATCATGATATAATAAAAGGATTGCAACCCGGAGTTCTACCGAATTAATGTTTGTTCATGTTATGTTCGTGTGTGGGAACACTCACTGCATAGATTCAAACCCTCATCACTGCTCCTACGGATTTTCTCATTGATGCAATCACGTTAGTGTGATTACTTTGTGTATAATATTGATACTTATTAAAACACTTATGTGAGGTAGCTTCAAACTTTTCCATTTTTCTTGCTAGTTGCACTATGCCTTGGCAGCCTTGACAGGCCGCTCCTGCCCTTAGTGCCAAAATGGTCACCTATAATACACCTATAATATAGCAGTGTCTTCTGCTTATGTTGGAGGTAATTAAGGGTAGTAGATACCCAGGCACCAGTACAGGTGAGATATCGATAAACGAGATCATAATAGTTATTGAGGCAGGGTGAAGTATGTAGTATCTGATTTTAGAAAATGAAAATTGGTTACTTCTTTATTTTTCCTTGACATTTGTTTACTTCTTTTCAGTACCACTGTTGCGGGGCCTTAACCTTCAGCCAATGGGGAGACAGCCAATGGTTGCGTGAAAACCCAGGCATCAATAACACTGTTCCAGACTCCTGCTGCAAGACTCCCTCACCTTACTGTGGTGTCAGGAATCATCCTTCCAACATTTGGTACAATGTAAATATCAGTATGTTCTCTCGTATGGTAAAATGTTTAAATGAGGTTGACTCACGCTTATTATACTCTTATGGTACAGTCTTTGTTCACAACATATTTACTGGCTTCCTGTCCCTGAATGCGGGGAAGATTATTATTATTTATTATTTTTACAATGGTGGGTATAGGAACAGACAACTTTGACAAATTTTTCCCTGAAACACGACCTGCCAATTAATTTACAAACGGGTATTTGATTACTATTGGGTGAGCAGAAGTAAACAGTTGAGGATTGCAACTAGTCAATCCTCCCTAGCCAAGACTTGAACCCAGACCAATTTGTTTGTAAGGTGTTGGGTAAGTGTGTGACCATTATGCCATCAAGGACTTATCTAAGTGGCTTAGGGAGGGAAGGAAGTTGATGGGGTCTTAATAAGTTCATCCAGGTGTCTTGGCATTTGCAGCTTTGGTGGTTGTGGTTCCATAAGTATTATTATACTGTACTTGGGTTATCTTGAGATGATTTCGGGGCTTAGCGTCCCCGCGGCCCGGTCCTCAACCAGGCCTCCTTTTTGTTACACACCCCCAGGAAGCAGCCCGTAGCAGCTGTCTAACTCCCAGGTACCTATTTACTGCTAGGTAACAGGGGCATCTGGGTGAAAGAAACATTTAGCCCATTTGTCTCCGCCTCCACCGGGGATCGAACCCGGAACCTCAGGACTACGAATCCGAAGCGCTGTCCACCCAGCTGGAGAAAAGCATTTCGTATTCTTTGTTCTATATTTAAACTTGGCAATTTACATTTTTTGCTTCTTTGTTTCTCCACTTTCAAACTCTGGAAAAGTAGAGTAAATTTAAGATATTTATCTTATTCAGTACTGTATTTTCAAGTCTCAGTTGGGACTTGAATCAAGGCTTGATTATACAGAACAATTAAAAATGTAATAAATATGGTTGAATACAGTAAGATTTTGTACTTTTTTTCTTATTTTCATATACAAGGGTTCTTAAATCCTTGTACAGCCACTAGCAAGCATAGCGTTTCAGGCAAGTCCTCAATCCTATGTTCTCCGGAATAGGACCCTACCAAGTCGTTTAACAGCCAGGTACCCATTTTACTGTTAGGTAAACAGAGGCTACAGTTAAGGATTGACGCTCCGTAAATCCTTCCCGGCCAGGATACGAGCCCAGAACAAAGCGCTCGCGAAACGCCAGGCGAGCATCTTGCCAACTACATCATAGGGATTGTTTAACAAGGTAATGTAAAATATGTGTGCCACAATATAGCTGTACTTTTGTTAACACAAGATTTTAATTTAAAAAACAAAACAGCATTGAATGTAATGAAATGCCAATCTTTGGGCAAGCCTTGGTGGCTCCCTGAAGCTATATGCTGAGATGGTTACCATCTAATGGGTCACATCAGTTCTAGAGGCCAACTGGGGACCGGAGCTAGAACCCAGCCCACCCTCACAGAAGCGCAGGAAGTGGTAACATTTATTTATATAAATATCAACACCATATATACATTAAATAGTATATATATATAGATTTAAGAATGTTAGACACATTCGGCAAGTCATTGATGTACAGTATATAAGAAATAGGAAAGGTCCTAAGATGCTGCTTTTGTAGCACTTTTACGGTTAATAATAGTAGGAGAGGTTGTCATTGATGGCTACATATTAATGTCTGTTATTAAGATGTGATTGGATACCAAGACAGGGCAAGGTATGTACTTGGTATCTAATTTTAAAGATAATGCCTACAATTTTATGAACCTTTGTTTCATTTTTGTACTGTATATGGCAATGGAAATTCAGCTTATCAATGTGAACAGTAAGGGCTGTCCTATCATCTTTGTTCTTAATTTGGGGTTAATAGAGGCATCGGGTAAAAGTAAACATACTGAAATGTCTTTGTCCCGAGTGGAAGTCAAACTCAAGACCTTACCTCTGAGGAATAACTCTTCTACATTTTATGCTGTATTTTAACCTATGCTTTATTAAGAATCATGATAAATTGAAGGTTCTTCTTTGCCAGGGCTGTATCCATCAGTTTGAAGACGAGCTTGGTCGACATCTGCTGATTCTTGGGGCAGTTGGTTGTGGTATCTGTCTGATTCAGGTCTTTGGGATGATCCTCTCCTGCTGTCTCTACATAAAACTAAAGGATGTTGATGAAAATTATTTTTAAGGGACACATAAACTGAATGTTAGAAATAAATATGGTATGAGAAAATGGGCATTAATTTAGGCAAAAGCTTTGCAGTAAAAAGCAAATGTATACTGTACAAGGTATTCATTACTACCAATATTTTAAGAAATTGGGAATAGGATTTAGAGAACACATTCAGTATGAGAAGGAATACCTGAAATTTGAATTCAGTTTGAAGAGAAAAGCCAAAAAACTATTTAGGGAATGCATCTTATTATTTTTTAGAAATTGTTATTAGTTTTTTATAGAAAATATACACGAATTAGCTGTCCTAGGAGGGCTTGATTAGATCTTCATGAAGCAGCAGTGGGAGCAGAAATTGCAAGTAACATGTATATGATAAAGATAGTGAAGCTAGGAAATTTACAATTTAAAGCAAGAATAAAAATAATGGCCATTTTAGAATAATCTACCGACGAATTTATTATGGGAAAATTGGTTTAAAGCCTTTTATAACATATAGAACTCAGAAGCAACTTTGGTATGCTTTGAGAGTTCGAGGCACTCGTGGTAATTTTGAAAAATAGTAAATTGTCTACAAATAACATAGAATATATGATGTCGCATAACCCAGTGCCAAAAGTCCATCGGTACAATTTAATAAATGATACCAATAATGAAATGGTACTTAAAAGGATGCCTAGCATAAGATAAATAAAGGTTTAAGAAAAATAAATATTGGCAAGAGATTAAGGGTAGAAATAAATTGACTTAATGAGTTTATTTCGTTAAATCTAAATACAGTGTATGCATAAAGAGGGCGAAAATATTTTTCATTAGTATATTCCTCCCTAGCCTATTAAAAATCTGTCATGAGAATTAATCAGAGAATTTATTTTAAACAGATTTATTTTCGTACGGCAATTTCCACATCTAATGAAATAAATTATATCATGACTACGTAACTGAAGAGATAAAATAAAGTTTTGATACAACGTAATCTACATATATATATTTTGTGTATACCGTAATTTTATTTTAGATGTATATTGAAACATTAAACTATAAAGAATTGTAGCATAATATTTAGGACTTTTGAAATACACGGTGACACTGACAATGCTGTTCTTCCCAACTTGTTGCTATCTTTTGATAATTGCCGTTATAAAAGTCTCGGACCTTTATTTTACTGTTGTAATTATTAGAGATTGTCATTCCCTTATATTTAAAACACTGTAGTTATTACAAATTATTGTTAGCTTACTTTAATATACAGTACTGCAATTATTACAGATTGTTGTTCCGTTGGTGTAAAACTGCAGCTATTACAGGTTGTCCTTTCCTGTCTTTGTTACACAGAAATTATTTTTTTATATTAAATACGATAGCTGTATGGCATGTAATGTAGTTTAATATTATGAAGTATATCGACTGTGTTAGCACACTGGAAATTTGATGAGTGAGATTCCATTAATAGTGTGTGTACTTATTGACTGCAAGATGAACAAAGCTTAACAAGAAATAGATTATACATTTTTTTGTTAAGCTACAACCAATGTTTATTATAATGTGCATGTGAGAGCTATGTTATAATTTAATGTACTGTACAGTACTATATTTCTGAGTACTTCTATGTGGTAGTCTCATTGTATATATGTAAATATTGTATGTGTAAGATATAGTACATAAACAAGGATAAAAATTCCTTATATGGAAAAATGTCAAAATTATGCAGTGTTTTTAATACTGTACTGTAATTTGTTTTAATTTAAAAGTAATGCAATGTGCAATCCAGTATATAGAGCTGCCATTGCCTGTGTGATATTACAGAAAGATTTAATGTATTTATTGATGAAAAAACAATGTATATAGTTTTTAATATAAATTAATACAAAATGGGTGTATAGAACACAACATTTTCAGCAAGTAAGGAGATACAGTAGCCGATTTAGTATGAGATTATTATTTGAGTTAAATCAAATCTATTAGTACTTAAAACTTATCAGACTATTTTAATATAACTATATTACTGTGTTTGTCGTATATGAATACTGTACTGTTACAGTCGAGATATTGCATTGCAGTTTAAGTATAGCTGCGCTAAAGTGTATCCAGCTTGTGTATGTACACTGAGTTTACTTCAGAACTGGATAATGTTCAGGACTAAAGTATACTTGCTGGTTGGTCAGTAAGCTATTGTGGTGGCCTTAATAACCCTCCAGAAGTTGATAGACCTTAAACCCAACACCCAATTAAAATGTTTGCCTTTGTTTATTAATGAAAATAAAGTATCCATCATAAAGCATTGTTTAAACACGTAAAATATTATTAGAAATCTAGGAATACAGTAAATGCTTTTAGACTGTTAAATAATAATAATAGATTAAGAGTACAGTACTAAAATAAATTTGGTATATAATGTAATTCATTTCCAACTACTGTATTGATTTAAAAAAAAAATTGGCAACAATTGATAACAAAAATGTAAACTAAATAAAATACAGTAGTCTTCAGATTACCTATGTTACATTCTTTAACAGCAGGACAAGCAAGTTCTTATTAAATATCATACCATGGGTCCCAAGAAAGTTGGTGGTAAAGTTCAATCTTAGAAAATAGTAGTGAGGATGATGACAGGAAATACAAGAGATCATTCGTAAATATGAAGATGGTATGTAGGTTGTTAATCTAGCTAGGTAGTATACATATCTTTAATTTAATCATTAATTAAGAAAATGTGTACAGTATGCAAAGAACTGCAAAGTTTTGCTGAAAAGACTCGCCCAGATAAAACTGTAGCAGGCCGTTGCATTAACCTTTTAGATGACAATGTCATGTCTCAATGCAGTCTTAAAATGTAGGGAAAACAATTGTCTATTGACAGATAGTAAGACAAGCAAGCAGTGAGCCACAACCAAGTCCTAGTGGTATGTCTGCAAAACATAGGAGTGTACTCCAGAAATATCATCACTGCCTGATGTTATAATGGAAGGGGACTCCTCTTCCAAACACTAGCGCCTCTCCTCCCTCCCTCCCCAGTCTTCCATGTGCCAACAAGAATTCACAATAAAGGTAAGGTATATTAAAATATTAATATTCTGTATAAAAAAAATTTTGAGATAATATTTTTGGGTATGTGGAACAGATTAATTCAATTTACATTATTTCTTATGGGAAAATTTGTTTCAGTTTATTTTTGGTGTATGAACCGTCTCTTGGAACAGATTAAATTCATAAACCAAAGTGCCACTCTGTACAGGTTAACCTCTCTGGTCTATTCTGTACAGTGTATGGATTAGCAACTTGACAAGGTTCCTGTTCCCAACAGTGGTATGCCTGGTTGATACCTGGTTGATGGGGTTCTGGGAGTTCTTCTACTCCCCAAGCCCGGCCCGAGGCCAGGCTTGACTTGTGAGAGTTTGGTCCATATACTGTACTAACGTATTGTGGTGATTGTGCACCCCATACTTACTCATCCATTGAATAATAGCACAAAAGGATTACAGAGACCACAAAAGTTCCTAACATTTTCACCCATAAAATAAAAAGTCCTCTAGTTAAACTGAATTTCTATTTGGATATGGTGAAGCTTTGCCAGAAAATTATCTGAATTTCACTTATTCTGTGCTAGTCTGCATTATCCAGCCAAATCTCTGGTTATCTAAATTTGTTTTGATTATCTACATAAATGACAAAGAAAGAAATTCATAATTTTTTAATATCCATTTATAATTAGGCTCATTATAATTATTATTACTTGCTCATCAACTCATTTTGCTTAATAATATGTTGAGAAAACATGATGATATGTTTGATACTTGAACTGGCTGTATCTCGGTAAATATATGTGTAAAAGGCTTAATTTTGCAAATTAGCAAAGAAAGAGTTAACAGAAAGAAACGTCCAGAGGTGCGGTAATTCTAATGGTAGCATTTTGAAAACGATTCTATGGCTGGTTTTGATTTTGAGTTTTGCGAAAAATGACGATTTCGCCGAGGTGGCGATTTTTCCGTGGCAGCTCCGCTTTGCGCCATCTTTTGACAATTATTTACTGATTTAACTGACCGCTGAGCTGTGTGGCCGTCATGTTCCGAGGCATCATGCTTGTTTCTATCTTTTGGTCAGTTTTTATTATTTGATTTAATTATTGACTATTTTCTGTTTCTATAGGAAATAAGGTAATTAAAAATCAAAAGAAAACAAAAGTTTTTTGCCAAAAAATGACCGGCTAGCTGAGTGATGCATCATACTGAACCGCTATATATATATATATTTAATAAAACAAGAGTTATTCACTCAATTATTCCTTGTTTATGAGCATTCTTTTGGATATCCTTGATCCTGACGACAATGAAAGCATATCTGAGAGCTGTTGATATCCTGCACTCTGAATATTGTAGAAGGCATCGCATCTATGGATATCTGCTTTCCTTTGATATAATTCTGGTATGTTGTGCCTCAGTGGGACTCCTATTTACTTGTTACAGCCGCCGGATTCCTCCGCGGGTATTTTACATCCTCATTATAATGTAGGATGTCCATCATCCTGAGATATCCAATATGATTAAAATAATTAGGGCAAATTCCTCATAGTGGACATCTAGCATCATGATTCAGGCAAGACTTTCTCCAGTGGACATCCAACATCCTTATTCAGGCCAGGACTCTCTACAGTGGACATCTGGCATCATGATTCAGGCAGGATTCTTTCCACTGGACATTAAAGACTGTACCTCTCTCAACCAGTTTAAGATAAAACCGAAGCTATACCTAATAAATTCCCTGTAACCTACCTTACCCTTCTATTGTCAACCAATGTCTGTTTTTTCTTAAAGAGCGCTGTTTGTCGACATAATTGTATTTGTGCTGCTTTTTCAGCTATGTTTTCATTTCTTGTTTTCATTCTACTCATTATGCTCAATTAGTATTAAGCTTGTCATTTAAGTTTATCATGCCCGAAACGCTTTGCGTAATAGTGGCTTTAGGCATTGTATGTACTAGCTCTAACTATAAGTCAACCAATCTTTGTAAAAATTTATTGTATGTATGTACCTTACCTAAATAAACATTTTATTTTATTTATTAATTTATACACTTTTGCGCTTTCCAGTAGACGTGACTCGTCACCAATATTTTAAGCACACAGCATTCGTGCCCCTCGGGGGCGTCACGAGCAAAAATATTTGTATAAAATCCATTTATTATCCGATCAACTTGGGAATAGTGTACAAATGTTTGCCATGAAATTTCCGTTTTCTCTAATAGCCGAACAGCTTATAAAAGAAAACGGCGTGGCAGTGAATCATCGTGGTAAAACAATTGTATTATTGACACGACGAGTGTAATCGACGTAGTTTTTATATATGTTGCCGGTCGAACGCAGCCTTATGTGACCTTTAATACTTATGTTCTTATAGAACATTCTATTGCGAGCACATTGGTACAAAAATGAAATACATACATCGACAAATAATGTCAGGACAGTGAATTGAATATACACTTTTCAAAGCGAGTTTCGCCGATATGCTGCCGCGGGTAACACTTCGGCCACTTCCCACACTGTTTTGGGTGGGCTACGACATTGAATCTATATTTATATGCATATGTACGTGTAGAGAATTTTATTGCGATTCTAATGATACCACAATTAGCGATGTAGGACAAATGTAGGCTTCGCAACCATTAAGAGAGTGGAAACATTTTTTGTTGCTGTTTGGCGCTCTTGGCGAGTGATCTGAATAGTTTTTTATTTGGTGTTGATAGTCCTTATGCTTGGGCGGCATTTTATAGGTATGCTCTTATAGACAATTTCATTGCGAACACAGTGATACCAAATTTAAATACGTGCGCCTTCAATTATTGTCAGG